GTTGGACGAGGGTTGCCGAGGCTCAGCCTGCCACAGGTGTGGCGGAATTCAGGGGGTCTGTGCGGACCCCGTACAATTAGGTCGGCGACCCCGTACAATTAAAGATACTCAAACAGAATCCAGGTTGATACATGTTTTGACTTGACTCTCTTTCGAGGGATGTGTCATCACTACAACGTACATAGTTATAGGTAAGTTGTGATCAAGACACATGTGACCTAACTACCGCGGTGTGTTAATTTTACCACAACAGGTCCTCCCAAACGGCTTTTTTGGCGACTCATGCCTGTTATTCTTAGGTACTTATAGCAGACTGCACGTCCCCCATGGATCGCACATGTAGGCTAGGTAAGGTACCTTCCACACCGCCCCCCGGTATCGTTCTATAATGACCAAAGTCTAACGGAACCCCATTACATTCTCGTCGTTCAGCCGGCGTCTCCGGATGGCTGTAATGCGGTACTTATTTTACAAGATTCCAAATAGGTAAGCAAAGCATGGAAGTGGGTAGTGTGGATCATGGATCTCACGCTAAGACGCGTTGGACCTTGACAATCATCTTGCTCCACTGTCACCTCACTTTAGCATCTCACTTGCCTCGGTCATCAGGGACGAAATTGGACTGTAAGGAATCAAGTGTTCCGTGTTCTTGTATCATGTAGGTATTTGGGGAGAGTTGTATGACCTGCGCTGCTTGGTGGTTGACAAATATGACGGTCCGGCGTCTTGGTGTGATGTGTGAGTCGCATAGGGTGGGCCTTCTGGGAGAGTCCCGGACGATCAGTAAGATGACAGACAGTGCAGCAATACTGAGGTGAGGAGCCGGTTTTGGTCCCGTTGGATGTAGCCGCTGAACCTGCTCTTGAGCCCAACCAGGGGCTGATTTGACTCGAGCCAGTGCGAGAAAAGGGGGGTGGTGACTTCAGTTTGTGCCGTGTTCTGCATGAATGATATTATGATGAGTTTGGCGACGAGTCAGCTTGACAGAGGGCTGTGTACGGAGGTAAGCCATGGCCATTCTCAAACATCTAGATCGAGATGGACCACCAGCGCAAAGCACATTCTGGCAAGCCCTGTCAGAAATAAATAAACACAAGGTACGTAAGAATACAGACATAAAGAATCTCTGCTACGGTCAATCTCAGGCATCTGGGCCAAGCACTGTCGCTCGCAACGTGATCAATGGGGATGGTAAGGAATGACACATGATAGACGTCACGGGTGCAGAGGTTATGGGAAAAGGGTCCATGGGGAGTATTAAAGGGATGAATAAGGTCATTGACTAGACCAAGAGCCGTTATCGCTTCTACACTTTCGCTCACCCGTGCTTCCCTCCGTCCCCTCTTTCCAACGTCGCCTATAGCCACGTTTTCAGGAATAGGTATGTCCCGTCGACTGTCCTAACGACCCGCTTTCTCCACGCAATGATCGCTGGGAACCAAGTAACCCGAACCCAAATGAAGTCCCCAAGTCGATCCTTCAAGAAGGAGTCATCGAACCAACGAATTAGGTCACCTTCGCCCAGAACTCTCGGTTGAGGTTGTCCGTGTCAGTGGTCCCAGCAGCGGAACATGGCTCCCTTGCCCTCCGCAATAATCCGAGTCTCACGATCCCCTAGGTTGGACACCTTGGCGTAGAAGTAGTAATCTCCAGGTCGGCAGATGGCGAGCCTGGGCCAGAAGAAGACGACGTGGCGCCACCGATCGTTCCGGTTCGACAAGCCGCTTGAGTCACCACGAAGCCTCCTCTCGCCGAGTTCGACTGGCCGCATTAATGTCTCTTCTGAGCGAACAAGAAGCGAAGAAATATCCACACTCCTGTCATCCATCAAGTAGAGGGTAGCTTGCATGTGCTCGAATCGTTGCTAATCGCGCTCGATTTCCGTGTCATCTCGGTCAATCCACAAGTCGAAATGCACCGTGTGATAGATAATGCGGTTTTTGATGACGCGGCGTCGTTCCTCGTCTCGCTCTAGCTCGGTTCGAAGGTCGGGAAAGTTAGAGGGGGTGACCTCATATGGAAATCCGAAATTGCCTGAAGGGCCGAATGAGTGTACTAGACGATGATGGAAACGCTGATTGGTTGTCATAATGTGTACAAACGCAGAGAAAAGCTGAGAAACTGAACGGTATGGTGCAAGGTGACTATATTGGTATTGCTTGAAATGGGTTGTGCATGAGGACTGGAGACCGAGCACAGCTTGATGAAGACTGCTACATCCCATGCTTGATCCAGCGGTATGAACCTGAGTGGTCTTCTCCTACGTCGAAGGTGCGATAGGAAGGTAGGCGCCTTACCTACGGTAGGTATGTTAGGTACCTACCTACCAGGCACTGATTCGAGTGTTCCTGCCACCATTTTTTTTAGCTGGATGCGTATTTCCCAGGAACTGACAAATTCACGTGAGGGTGTGTGTGCCCACCTGGCAGGACCGTTTGTCCACCGGGCAGTTGAGGTATGTGACAAGGGCAGAGAGAGCACTTAAGAAATCATACCTCCTATTCACCCGCCGTGGATATCCGAGAGCATCCGGCCGGTCCCGGTTTCGGAGCTTCACTTTCCATGAGGCTCGATTGGCTGCAGCTTCCCCGTTAGGGGCACGAGGGAATTTCCCGAGGAAACTCCCGTCCATCGATCCGCTGCGAGTTAGGTTCCACTACAGGTCCACAGTCCACTACAAACGTCAAGCCAAGGGCGCCAGACAACTGTCCGGATACATCAACCCTTCCGTATCCCCGGGTCTTAACCCATCTTCATACTCTTCCCTCATCATCCGCCATCCACGCCACATCTCGATATCAACATTCTACCATCATGTCGGAGCAGATTGTTTTGTTTGACCTTCCCAGC